CGCTCACAGGAGTCAAAGAGGGAAGAATGGTTTAGAATGGAAATGTTTGGCAATGTTAAAGACTTCACAGAAATTATAAGAAATAAATGGAAGACATTTGAACTTGCAAAGGCTTCGTTCTTGAGAAGTGCAGCATCCCATGAAAGAAGGAAAGGGGGGTTGAAGTTGTGGCAAGACTGCAGGAACACATTGGAGTAAGAGACAAAGTGAACATGGAGAAAAGAAGAACCATCTCTTTAAGTTGGCATTGACAGGAGCGGGAAAAGAATGGCATGGACAAAACTAATACAGAATGGGTCGCAGTAAAAGAGAAGGCCAAAGGGTCTGTTCGGAGTAAGACAAGCTCTCCTCGGAGGGGAGGCTCCGCGCCCACCACAGCAGAGAACAGAGCGAAGAGCTGGAACACACTGGAAATGATGCTTTGAAGGGTGAACTTTAAAGGTGTTATTTCCTCTAATTCAACTTTCAGGACTTTGTAGAATTGTCCTTTGTTCCGATTCTTATCAAACTAAGTGAGTCTCTGAGCTCTGTGAAGTGGCTGTGCTTTCTTTACCTCCAATATCCTTCTCATTTTCATCTAGTAATTTGTGATTATCATTTAAGGCCCATCCTAAAATCTCACATCCCTGTCAAACTTCCCTGACGAGCTCATTTTGGGGTGCCATTAGTGTTTATTACAGAAAATAAATTATGAAACCACCAAGAATTTTTTTCTTTTTTGCTGTGCTGATCAAACCCAAGGACCTTGTACATGTTAGACAAGTGCTCTACCACCGAGCAACATCTCCAGCCCTTGATTTCCTAGACAGGATCTTATATATAGCCCAGGCTGATCTTGAGTTCCTAATCCTCCTGCCTCAGTCTCCTAAGTGCTACAATTACAAGCTCGTACCACTACATCTGGTAAGAACTAATTTTTTTTTTACATTTATTAATTTATATGGGGAGCATTCATGGCATGGCAAACATGTGGTCATCAGAGTTGGTTCATGCTGGGGGTGACACTCAGGTCATTAGGCTTGGCAACATGCACATTTGCCCAATGAGCCATCTCACTGGTCCAGAACTGCTTTTCAATAGCAGTCTTTTGGGCACACAAATCTGAAACTTTAGGATTAACAGATTAAATGGGCCGTGTCAGGGTTTGACATTATTTGTAGATTTATGTGATGTCTAACACTGCTAGCCTCTCTATCGCATTCTTCTGAGTGGTAATCGGTGTGAGGTCAGCTTCTGAGACCGTTTGGTGCCTGCTGGTGGATTATTGTCAACATTTGTTGAGCTCTGAGTATGTTCTAGGCACATTATCACACAACAGAAATCCAATTAAAAAGATACATTCTGTATCTGTTGTACCTCCTTGTACCTCATGGAGACAAGCAAAGAGCAAGGCCCCCAGACCTGGGATCCCTGAATGTCCCTGGGCCTAGTGTCCCGGGAAAAGGATCCCTTGGGTTGGAGTGGGTCTGAACTTCTCAAGGTTTCTAGGCTGGTTGGATTTTGTGTTGCATAACTCTTATGATTATGAAAAAAAAGGGAACATTCTGGCATCTAATTCCAATCACCCTTCTAACTTAGGGGAAATGGTTGGCAGAGAAGAAAATAAATAATTGCAACACATGATCAAGACTGCGGGCTGGTGAGGAAGGAGATTAGGCAAATACCACTGCTCCAGTTTGTTAATCATTTACTGGGACAGAGGAGAGTTTCTCCCTGTCCATCTTTATTTACCTGCCTATGACCAGCCACCTGCGTGGGTAGAATCCAAGGACCACTTGTGTGGGGAGAATCCAGGGACTTTTTGGTGGAGCAATTACTGGCTGCCTTTAGGATATTGTGATCAACTGTCATCTTGGGAGAAACTAGTACAGTAGAGATCAAGGCATCATCACAGAGTCATTTCCTCTGCTACTGCAGGTCAGTGAGCTACTGATCACTTGGGTCGGGGGTTGTGGGTAAAGCTGGTCATCAGGTCCTTATGAGATACACCTCTGTGTTCTATCTTTTTTATTTTTGAGATTATAACTTAATTACACTTTCCCATTCCCTTTCCTCCCTCCAAATCCTCTCATGCATCCTTTCTTGCTCTATTTCAAATGTATGACCTCTTTTTTCGTTAATTCTGATTGCGACCGTATATTCCTAAATATAACCTGTTCAGTTCACATAATGTTACTTGTATGTGTGTTTTCAGGGCTGAACGTTTGGCACTGGACAACCAGTTGCTGTGGTTCTTCCCTGGAGAAGACCACCTCTCTTCCTCCCAGCTTTCCTAAGTTGTCTATAGTTCTTCGTGTGTAGAATCAAGGCCCTATGAGCTCTCCCCATCTGGTTTTGTATATTCATTGGCGTCCTCCTTGTTCAGCTCATGTTTGGGAGGTCATGTTGGTGGGTTTGACTGGTATAGCTTCTGATGTTACTAGTTACAACCCCACGGTAAACTCCTTGATCCCTTGACTCTGCCAATCTTTCTGTCCTAACACTTTGCTAGGTGGTGACACATGCCTTTAATCTCAGCATTCAGGAGGCAGAGGCAGGTAGATCTCTGAGTTCGAGGTCAGCCTGGTCTACAGAGTGAATTCCAGGACAGCCAGGGCTACACAGAGAAACCCTATCTTGAAAAACCAAACCTAATCAAAACAAAACAAACCCAAACTATATTTGTATATTTATACATGGAGTTACATTATGCATATTATTTTTTTTTAAAGTTAAAAAGTTAAGAGTTGTGTATGGAAGCCACTATTTCCTTAGAATCGTCTACCACCTCTGGCTCTTACAATCTTTCCACCTCCTCTTCTTCATAGATCCTTGAGTTTTGAGGGGAGGGGTTTGATGACGACATCTCATTTAGGACTGAATGCTTTGAAGCCTCTCACTTTCTACACATTGTCCAGTTTGGGGTGTCTGTGTTAATTCCAATCTACTGCAAGAAGACACTTCTCTGATGAAGATTGAGTGAGGTACTAATCTATGGGTATTTCGATATCATTAGGGGTCATTTTATTGTTATGTTCATTTAGCAGAATGATAGTAATAGGTTTTCTTTTAGGCCCATGACCTATCTAATCTCAAGTTCTTGGCCAATGTAGCAGTGCCATATCTGGGTTCCATCTCATGGAGCGGGCCTTAAATCCGATTTAAGAAAAGTGGTTGTTTACTCTGGTGACATTTGTGTCACTATGTACCAGTGTATCCTGCAGGCAGTTCTCTGTTGTAAGTCTCAGAGTTTGTATCTGGGTGGTATTGCTGATCACTTTTCTTCTCCGCTAGTGTGCAGAATACTTTCTAGTACCACGAATGCTAGTTAGCAAGGGTGAAGCTTCGAGTTAGGCATGAGCTCATTTTTCTATGTTTGATGACATAAATGTTGCTGTCTTCAGAAATGGGAACTCACCATCAGGTGGAAAGCAGCCAATAGCCTTAGATGTAGCTTGTGATATTTGGTGGCATAAGATGTCTACTTGGGGCATTGTCTCCCCCATTATATGGTGACTCTACTTAAATTCCTTTCATAAATGTAAATATTTTTAGGAAGCTTCTACAGTAGCATGTTTCCATAGAATTTTTCAAATGGCCTTTAACATTAGTTGTCACTCCCCATATTCCCCCCGTACCCTGCTTTCCCGTTCCCCTCTCCATTTGGTCCTCCTGTTCTAGCTTTCCTTTTGTCTATCCTTAGGACTATGTTGTATAGGTTTGAACATATTGGCACAGGAAAGGACTATTTGAACAGGATGCTGATAGCACAGGCACTAAGACCAACACTTAATAAATAGGACCTCATGAGGTTAGAATGCTTCTATATAGCAAAGGGCACCATTGTTTGGGCAAAGCAACCCCTATAGAATGAAGAAGAAAGACACCCTCTTTCAGGAATCTTTACCAGTTATACATCGGCTGGAAGGCGAGTATCTAGACTACAAGAAGAATTTTAAAAAGCCCTGAGCATCAAGAAAATAAATAATCCAATTAAAAATGGGGTACAGAACTAAGCAGAAAAGTAAGCAGAAAGGTCCCAAAAGATCAAACACAAATAGTTGAGAAACGAAGAAATGTTCAACGTCTGTAGCTATCAGGAAATGGAAATTGAAACAACTTTGAGGTTTTGTCTTACTCCAGTCAGAATGGCCAAGATCAATAAACAAATGGCAGCTCATGCTGGTGAGGAAAGCGGAAAACTTATTCCTTGCTGGTGGGAGTCCACACAGATACAGTCATTGTGGAAATCAGTGTGGAGGGTCCTCAAAAACTGAAAACCGATCTACCACAAGATCTTGCTACTCCACTTTTGGGCATACACCCAAAGGACTCGACATCCCTCTGCAGAGATACTTATTCATTTATGTTCATTGCTGCTCTATTCATAATAGCCAGAAATTGGAGATAGCTTAGATGTCCATCAACTGGTGAATGAATAGTGAAAATGTGAATCATTTACACAATTCAATATTACTCAGCTGTTAAGGAAGATAACATTATGAAATTCACAGGTAAACAGATGAAGCTAGAAAAAGGAATCATCCTGAGCTAAGTAACCTAGACCCCAAAAGACAAATATTGTGTGTTTTCTCTTATATGTGCATGCTAGCTCTTCAGTCTTTAATATGTGTCTACATTCTGAATAACCAACAGGGTCAGGTGTCTAGTATAAGAGACTAGGAGAGAGGAGGGGGTCTCTTGATTTGCAAAGTTGAAACACTGTCTTCTGCTCCCAGCTGACCTGAATTTATTCTCTGGCTTCACAAAACACTGCTCAGATATATCCTCCTTTGCAAATTCACTTCCTCTCCCCACTTGGAATGAATTTCTCTTCCCACAGTGGTCTTTGCAGAGGCGAGTCCTTGTTGTTTCTCATGGTAACATCCTTACTCGCCTCTCTTCTTCCCATCTAGGCTGTCACTTCCTTGAAGAGGTGGAAATTGTAGCATTTATCCCAATGCTTTGTGACAAGTAGATTAAACGGTTGCTTATTAAACCCAGGTTTCCTGGCAGAACCAATGTGGGCAAAGCATCTGCAGGCTATGCGCCCCACGAGAGCTCCACATGGGAGGCTTCATAGAGACAGGGATGCTGTGGCCTGGCCCTTCTCTCGGCTCTGGAGAGTCTCTGACCCAACTTTGTTCCAAATGACCGTCATTGCTGCTCTCTGGGTTGCTGTTTTTGGTGAGTAGTAGGCAAAATGTCCAGATGGACAACCAAGAGTTACTTACAAGACTTTGGATGAGATAGTTAAGCTAGTGGAGATCCAGTTTCAGCAACAAAGGATTTATTTTGCCATCTGGAGCTAGGTGTTTCTAGGTTTTGAAATAAACCTATGTTGTCTAACAGTGATTAAACACATTTCATGGCTTGGGATTGGTCTGGAATGGAGAAATGAGGAGCAAACCATTATGGGGGGCGGGGAGGGGTGCCACCCAGCTACCAAATAAATCACACATGGAGGCTTATTCTTACTCATAATTGCCCGGCCTTAGCTTGGCTTGTTTCTTTCCAACTTTCCTTAATTTAAATTATTCCATCTGTCTTTTGCCTCTGGGCTTCTTACATCTGTAAATCTTTTTTTTTTTTGGTTTTTCGAGACAGGGTTTCTCTGTGTAGCTTTGCACCTTTCCTGGAACTCGCTTTGGAGACCAGCTGGCCTCAAACTCACAGAGATCCACCTGCCTCTGCCTCCCGAGTGCTGGGATTAAAGGCGTGTGCCACCACCGCCTGGCACATCTGTAAATCTTGCTCCATGACTGTTGTATGGCTGGGTGGCTGGCTCCTAGAGTCTTCTTCCTTCTCTGGATACTTCTTATTTTCCTCCCAGACTTCTTCTTTTATATATTCTGTCTGCCTACTAGCCTTGCCTACCCTTTTTCCTGCTTTGTTATTCCCCATTCAGCTCTTTATTAGACCATCAGGTGGTTTAGAGAGACAAAGTAACACAGATTTCACAGAGTTAAACAAATACAACATAAACAAAAGTAACACACCTTAAAATAATATTCTACAACATTTCCCCCTTTTGTCTAAATAAAAAGGAAGGTTTTAACTTTAACATGGTAAAACTATACACAACAAAAACAGTTATCAAGTAAGAATTACATTTAAAATATTCTGTCCATATTCAGAGAAAATAATGCATTATCTATCCTATCTTAGTGAATCCAAAGTTTTACACCTAACTTACTTTCTATCATAACTTAGAAAAACCGCAACTATAACTATCTAGTCTTCAACTCCATCCAAGACCCAGAAAGATGTAATATTATCTAACAACAGAGACATTTGGCTGCCTGGACAGTCACCCAGTGTTCCTCTGCAATGTTGGGGCATCCATCTTCAGCCTACAGGCCCAGAATATCTGGCAAACTTTTCAGTGAAGCAGGAAATTTGAAGGACAGTTCTGCCTTGTACTGACAAAGTTTGTCAGTTGCTTTCCTCTGTGTCCTGCAGAATATCTGGCAGACTCTTCTGTGAAGCAGGAATTTTGAAGGACTGTCCTGCCTTGTTTGGGCAAAGTTCAACAGTCTTTTTCCTGTGTGTCCTTCACATTCAGTATGCACAGCACATTGCCAGCAGTCAAAGGCAAGAACAGTTTCTTTGCCCAGGGCCTAACATTGCCACAATAAAAGCAAACTCCCTAAGGAGTTTCTTCAATGCCCATCATCTCTGAAATAAATTGGTGCTGCCAGGAGCAGATGTTTCTCATTGTCATGAAAAACCTTAGATTAACAAAACATTTTAAATGCCATATTCCATAGGCCTTTGAAGTGTTTGAAAACCACTTATCTATCTAAAATATATCTCTATATGATCTTAAAAACATACCTAACACATCTACAGATTTGATTGTTATAGATGACTAACTACTGACCTGTTTCTTGATTGTTGTAAATAGTTCATAATAATAGCTTTCAAAAACTAGAACTTTACCTTACATTTTTAAATGAACTGCATAGGTACAATACCTTAAATAAGAGTAGAAATATGTATATACATTGTAAAAATAACTTTAAATTTGTATCAATATGCTATATACTATACACTATTCATTTTTAATAGGGAAAGTAGGATTAAGATTTTTATGTCTCAAGAATTCTATGCTTTCTCTTCTATACCATCCAGGCTGGACTTGAATTCATAATCTTTCTTACACATCACCATGTCTGGCTTGTCATGTCAGTTCAAATGAAACAGTATGTTTCTCTTAAGGCAAATTTGTAGCAATTTTTGGCTTTTCATAGATGCTTTCTGAGCAGAGATGGGTAATATAGGCTGATGAAATTTATGACTGTCTCCTTTTTAGAAAAATTATTTTATATAGTGGAGAAGAGATAAAATGTATTCCTTTTATCATCATTGTTATTATCATTTATCAACAGACATATGTGTACATCTCTCATGAACTCATGACACAGGAGAATAGTACATTTATGATTTTTTTTTTATTAGAGGAGGAAAGAACTGTTTTCCCTCTACAATTATAGCACTGAAACGCTAAGATGCTGTGTCTTAGGTATGACATTTAGTGTTGCTGTCCTCTTGGTGTCTAGGTAAATGTGGTCCACCTCCTGATTTACCTGATGCCATGCCAGTAAGTGAGATGAACCAGACAGACTTCGAAAGCTCAACTTCCCTGAAATACAGTTGCCGTCCTGGCTACAGTAGAGCGTCTTCAAACCAGATTGTTTACTGTAAACCTGATGGGAAATGGCAGATTGATATCGCCTGTGTCAGTAAGTGTCAACATTCATTTTTTTCTCACCTGTGTATTTATCAGTGTCAGAACAGTGTCTCGGGTTATATAATTACTGAATCTTAAGTCACTAAGGAACTAGTGAATTCATCAACTAGCGATTTGAATGTACATATGTATAAATCTTCTGAAAAGCAGAATAAAACAAAACAAAAATAAGAAATAAGCTAATTGCAATGAAGATCAGTATACTATGCTGGTTAGTTTTATGTCAACTTCACACAAGCTAGAGTCATTAGAGAAGAGGGAGCCTCAGTTGAGAAAATGTCTCCATAAGATCAGACTCTAGACAAGCCTGAAGGGCATTTTATTAATTGGTGATTGATGGGGGAGGGCCCAGTCCACTGTGGGTTGTTCCATCCCTGGGTTGGTGGTCCTGGGTTCTATAACAAAGCAGACTTACTAAGCCATGAGGAGCAGGCCAGTAAGCAGCACTCTTCCACGGCCTCTGCTTCAGCTCCTGCCTCCAGGTCTTGGCCCTGCTTGAGTTCCTGTTCTGACTTCCTTCAATGATGGACTGTGATGTGAAAGCATAAGCTAAATAAATTCTTTCCTCCTCAAGTTGCTTTGGTCATGGTGTTTCATCACAGCAATAGTAACCCTAACTAAGTTTTCAGTAACTCACCTGGTACTTCTTTAAATAAATATTGGGACTAAGGCCTGATGTGAGATAGTGAACACCTTTAATCCCAGCACTTGGGAAGCAGAGGCAAGCAAGGACCTCTTTGAGCTGGAGGCCAGCCTGGTCTACACAGCGATTTTTAGGCCCGCCAGGGCTACATAGTGACAGACCATGTCTCAAAAACAAAAAGAAAAGAAAAGAAAGAAAGAAAGAAAAATGTTGGGGCTAGTAGGATGGGTTAGCGGGTGAAGGGGACCTGAGGTTCATCCCTGGAACTTGTGTAAAGGTGGAAGGAGAGAACTGACCCTCCGGAATTGTCCTCTGAGCTCCACATGCAGCCTGTAGCCAACCCCCAAATGGCAATAACAACAACAACAATAAAAATAGTAATGATAATAATAATGATAAAATATTCTGGGGGTTAAATGGCCAGAAAGTAGCAATCTTACCTCAAACACATGGTGAGCATTGCTTTTATACACAGAATCTGGAATTTAAAAAAAACATGCATATACATACATACGTACACACACACAATATATAAATACATACATATATTAGGGGAAAGAAGGTGACCACAATGGCTGGTGAATATGACTAAAATAAAATGCTATCCCTACATGAAAGTGTCATAATGAAACCCACTATTTTGTATACTAATTTAAAAATTAAGTAAAATCATGCATAAAATAAAGTATTTTGTGGACTTGGAAGAGGAGCTAATTCACTGTGAGCAGGGCATACATTCTGCACAGTCCCCAAGAGTAATGACATGCAATGTCTGCTTTCTCTTTTTTGTTCCCTTTTATAATCAAGAAAATGATTCTTGCTAAAATACACCAGGGTGATTAAAAGAGATCAAAATTTGTGTGAATCTTCTCTCCAGAACAAAAATTCAGTGTGTCAGATTCAGAGATAAATGTGACTCTAGACAGGTAGGTCTTTCTGAATGTGGAGGTAGACTTAGGTCTGTTAAGTTTCCAATGGTTGCATCTGTGAATGGTGGGACCACTTAACCATCATTTTAATTTTCCTCTAGAAAAATCGTGCAGGAATCCAGGAGAATTACGGAATGGACAAGTGGAAGTCAAGACAGATTTCTCCTTTGGATCACAGGTAGAATTCAGCTGCTCAGAAGGGTGAGTGTAAGGTAATTTAGAAATAATTACAAGTTAACTTTAAAAAAAGAGCTATATTCAAAATTTAAAGTGATATTAAGAGTATATATTAAGAATTCTCACTTCTACCCATTCTCCATGTACCCTATTCCTTCCTATATTTAAACGAAAGAATTTACTTTTACCAATTTCTTTTGTATCTTTGTAGTGTTTCCTCATTCAAATACAAGCCAAGATACTAGCACATGTTCTTATATTTCCCTTTTCTGATAACAAATTTAGGTCATGTTTAAGCTTTTTACAAAGGGAAGGTGGAAGAGGAAATAGCAATGTATATGACTATATTTCATTGTATACAATGTGTGTGTGAAATTCTCAAGAATAAACAATGTAAAAAAAAAACCCCTGAAACCTGCTGGGTTTAATGATGCAAACCTTTACTCCTATACTTAGGAGGCAGACACAGCTGGATTTCTGTGAATTTAGGTAGATGTTAGGGAACATACTCTAGTCCTTTGAAAGGGTTCTTAATCGCTGAGCCATCTTTCAGGCCTCTTATTTGTTTTTATAGGACTTTTTATGCTTGTTTTATATGGTTCGATTTTTCACTGCTATGTAATGTACAATCTTAATGTGCGCATTAATTTAAATATGTAGATCATTTGTAACTGTCACTTGAAATGCATTTTGAAGTATTTTCTCCTACTACAATGTGTGATGATTTTTTAAAACATTGAATTAAGTTTTATTTATTTTTTTCGAGACAGGGTTTCTCTGTGTAGCTTTGCGCCTTTCCTAGAACTCACTCTGTAGACTAGGCTGGCCTCAAACTCACAGAGATCCATCTGGCTCTGCCTCCTGAGTGCTGGGATTAAAGGCGCATGCCACCACCGCCCATCGAATTAAGTTTTAAAGTTAGCATACAGAGTGATGAGTTCCATTATGACATTTTTGTACATATGTGTCACTAAACTTTTTGACTTTTAATCTTTAATACACAAAGAAACGGGTTTATCAGGCATCCTCAAACATATGGTATTATACTTTGTCCCTCTCTCCCCAAAACCCTCCATGATGACTCCTTAGCTGAGAAAACATCGTTTCTTCATTTTATTATCTGTTTGATCACCTTTACACAACTTTATTTAAAGTGGGAATTCCATTAAAATCTTTGACCTTCTCTTGTCTAGATATATCTTAGTTGGCTCATCCACTAGTTATTGTGAGATCCAAAGTAAAGGAGTTGCCTGGAGCGATCCTCTCCCACAATGTGTAAGTAAGTAAAGAATCTTTTTGACTTGGCTATAAGCAGAACTGTGTTAGGGAATGATTCTGTGTGTCCTTCCTGACACTTGAACCCTCCACATACATTTGCAAGAATTGTTATCACGCCCATCCCTGAACATTTCTTTCTCTTCTACTGATTTCTCAGTTGTCAAGTGTGGGTCCCCTCCAGACATCAGCAATGGGAGGCACAGTGGCGGTGATGACATGTACACATATGGCTCCTCCATTAGCTATAGATGCGATCCCCGCTTCAAGCTCCGTGGCAATGCCTCCATTACCTGCACCGTAGTGAACAAAACAGTAGGTGTTTGGAGCTCAAGCCCCCCTACTTGTGAAAGTAAGTCCCAGTGCTAATTCTGCTTTCAATTGTTCACATATGCTTTGCTTAGAAGAAAAAAGAAGGGGAATTTATTGTGGGAAGTAGAACAATTTCAAGATAAATGAATGGGTGTGTGTGTGCATCTATTATTTGGCTAAGAGATATTCAATGCATTAGAGTGGCAAATAACACCATATCACAGTGATTTGGTAAAGTAAGAATTTCTCATTCATCTATAGTCTGTTCAAAGGTGTTGGCTACAGTCAGACAACCTTCCCTGGAGAGCATCCTAGACATGCCAACAACTTAGAATAGAGCTCAGCAGTCCAGGTTCTTTGGTCGCATGGCATTTCCATCTGGAAATATATTTTTCTAATTTCTTTAGTAGAAGAAAGAAAAATAAATTCTATCCTTTGGCTGGGAGTGACTATATTGCCACCTTTTATTCAGAACTAGTAATATGTATGTGTTCTTATATCCTATTTTTGAACTAGAGTATTTATCAAATCTAAGAGTTTTCTGATGAAGTCTTTAATTTTTAAAAAAAAATTATAGGGCATGCCATCTGCAAACAGGAATACTTGGACTTTTTCCTTTACTATTTGCATTCCTTTATTTCTTATTCTTGTCTTATTGCTCTAGCTAGGGTTTCAAGTACTGCAATTGAGTAAGAGTAGCAAGAGTAGGCACCTGAGTCTCATTACAGATTTTAGAAGAAATACTCTAATTTTTCCTATTTGGTATGATGTTGGCTATAGTATTGGAAGCATGTAGATACTTATATTCACATATAAGCATTAGGGAAACCAGGAATCCCTGAACATTTCTTTCTCTTCTACTGATTTCTCAGTTGTCAAGTGTGGGTCCCCTCCAGACATCAGCAATGGGAGGCACAGTGGCGGTGATGACATGTACACATATGGCTCCTCCATTAGTTATAGATGCGATCCCCGCTTCAAGCTCCATGGCAATGCCTCCATTACCTGCACCATAGTGAACAAAACAGTAGGTGTTTGGAGCTCAAGCCCCCCTTGTATCAAATGTACAGGGTCGTCTCTTCAAAGGGAGACATGTATAACCTGTTTTCCACCCAGAAGGCTGGGAATGGATGCGGTGAATAGCCTGGTGACCTCTGCACTATCTGTATGGCCAGGCCATACCGATTCCCCAAGACTCTTGAGCTTGTTTATTTCAGCCAGTCTATAGCACTATTTCCCCCTAGATCCTTGTCATGAGCATTGTTTACCTTGAGCCTACTTACTCTGTTAAACCATAGAACCCGTCTTTATGGAAGAAAGCACTTGTACTTTACAAGAGTTTCAGGACAGTCATGTCCTTGTCTCTGTTGCACATGTGGGATTAAGTTATTTGCCACAAGGAAACTTTTCCCCAAATTGTTCTGTGCTTAAATATGCCTAAAATAAATTACCTGGAGTCAACAGCAGTTACTGAGCATTAAGCCACTCAAGCTACGTGAGTGGCCAGGCCCTTCCCCTGAGGACCTCTAACTGCCAGGTTCCACTCACAGAATAACTGTCCTAACTGCTGGACCCAACCCCCACACTACAGAGTAAAAGCCCAATTTCTGGACCTGAAAGCCACCAATCTCCACCCTGGAAAGTTCCACCCCCTTCCCAAGAAACCCTGTATAAGCCCTGAATCCTGTTCTGTTTGCTGCTGTTTCTTGTCCCAGCCACCATCCTGGTTTTTTCCCCTCCCAATAAATCTCTTGTATGAGGTTTTTTGTGTGGTGTGACTTTGTGGTATCCCTTGGCTTCTGGCTGCCAGGATACCTTTCTATCAGAGCTGTAACACTTACACTCAGTTCTTTTGAACCGATTGCCCCCTGTGGATTGACACTCTTCTGGCTGTGGTGTTTGCAGATCCCCACCCCCACCCCTCCCATCCCCCCCAGCCGTGTCTCTCTCTCTCTCTCTCTCTCTCTCTCTCTCTCTCTCTCTCTCTCTCTCTCTCTCACACACACACACACACACACACACACACACACACGTATAGGTTAGTTGTTTATAGCCTTTGCAATGTTGAGGTGTGGGCCTTCTATTCCTACTTTCTTCAGGAATTTTATCATGCAGAGATGTTGGGCTTTGTTGAAGGTGTTATCTGTATCAGTTGAGATGATCATGTGATTTCTGTACTTAAGTCTATTTATATGCTGAATATATTACCTTACTGATTTACTTATGTTGAAACAACATTGGATCTTTGGAATAATACCAACTTGGTCGTGGCATATGATCATTTTAATATGGTTTTGGATTTGGCTTATAAAATTTAATGAGGGGTTTTAAAGTCTGTTTTGATCAGGAAAATTAGTCACCATGTGGGTCTTTGGGATTGAACTCAGGTAGTCAAGGCTTGGCCAGCAAGTGTTTTTAATCCACTGAGCCCCTGACTTTTACCCTTTGGCCATTTTTTTTTTTTTTTTTTTTTTTTTTTTTTTTTTTTTTTTTTTGGTTTTTCGAGACAGGGTTTCTCTGTGTAGCTTTGCACCTTTCCTGGAACTCGCTTTGGAGACCAGGCTGGCCTCGAACTCACAGAGATCCGCCTGGCTCTGCCTCCCGAGTGCTGGGATTAAAGGCGTGCGCCACCACCGCCCGGCCCCCTTTGGCCATTTTTAACATCTTGACTCTGATATGTTTTGGAGGGAGTCCTTCTCTTGGCATGTCTGTTTTGGGTTCTGAATGCCCCTTGTATTTGAAATCTTTTCTCTAGATTTGGGAAATTTTCTGCTATCCTTCCATTGAGTAGATGCTGTCCGCTTTTAGTATTATCTTACTTCTTTCTGCTATGCAGGGGATTCTGAGGTTTTTCATCTTGATCTGGGATGATTAGTGTTAACCATCAGCTGGACAGAAGCAGAGTCACCTGGAAGACAGCCTCGCAGGCATGCCTGTAGGAAATCCCTTCATTGTGTTCACTGGGCTGGAAGAGTTGTTCACTCATCCCTCTCTTAAGCACAATTGCTCTGGGCTTCTCCTCTCTAGAGACTGCAGCAGACTAAGGCTCCCTAACCTGGGGCTGGTTTTTGTTTGTTTGATTTACCTCAGGCCCATAGGGTAGCTCAGTTGTAGGAACAGATTTTCCTTCAAGATTGTATCTGCTCTGCTGCTGCCTCCAAAGTCATTTAGTCCTGTGACAAAAGGGACTTTTCTTCATGGCTAGCCCCATCTGCCAGAGGAATCCCTGTCTTACAGCTGGATCTGAGGCTTACGAGGGTTTTCAGCTTGTCTTGAGAGTCAGACTTGCTGATTTTCTGTCTGGCTTAGCTTCTGGGTGCCTTCTGCTCCCCTTCTCCACAGAGAACTGAGTAGCTGAGGCAAGGGTCTCTGTGTCAAGGATCTTTTTCCACCTCTGCTCTTTTCTGGCATCCTTTTCAATTATTTTGTGGATATCTAAAGCTCTTTATTTCTAAATAAAGTCTATTTTTTTTCTTATTCTGACTTCTTCACTGGCTTTTTCAGAGGCATCCCCTGTCTTTTTCAATAAAGTTCCTTCTACTATTTATGTTAATTTTCCAAGATACATTTTTTTTTTTGTGGTACCCAGGGCCTCATACATGCGTTGCAGGTGCCCTTCCACTAAGCTATATCCCTAGATCTCAAATTATCTGTGGTGTGTGTGTGTGTGTGTGTGTGTGTGTGTGTGTGTACATGCGTGTACGTGCACAGGTGCACGAGTGTCATAGTACGCATGTGGAGGTCAGAGGACAACCTTGGAGGCTAGTGGTGACCTTCGACCTTGAGGCAGCCCCTCTTCCACCCTGAGACAGGGTCTCACTATGTATGCCTCCCAGGGACTGGGATTAAAGATGCACACTACCGTGTCTGGCTTTGTTTCAAAGCGGCATACACCAAGATGACTGTCCTTCCAGCATTAGGGAAGTCTCCTCTCTTATTATAGGATCACTGAGCCTATAGATGTATGCTACCATGCTGGATTTTTATATGGGTTCTGGGGATTAGAACTTAGGTCTTTGTGTACACTTTACTCACTGAGCCATTGCCCCAATACCCTTTAACTTTTAAAATCTGCTTGTCTTTTCTCATAATTCTTTAGGAATCACCTGTTCTCCACCAGATATTTCACATGGAACAATTATTTCTGGATTTAGAACTACCTATAAACACAAAGACTCTGTTAGAATTACCTGCACGAAAGGGTTCATCCTCAGAGGCAGCAGTTTCATTCACTGTGGAGCTGATGGAAACTGGAGTCCTCCCCCAATCTGTGAGCTCAGTAAGTATGGACCATGAAAGACTTTCAATGTCTGGAACCTAAAGAATGTGTGGACATACATTCATGTCTAGATTCTGAATCACAAAAATGTAAATTTGGTTTAGTAATAGTTATCTTGTTTTCTTGTTGGAAAGAAGGGTGACTTTAGTACTCCTTGCAAGGTCATCTATCATACATGGTTATTCACACTCCAGTCCTAAGGAGAAGCATTGATGTTGTAGACATAGAAGATTAGTATATTTATGTAATGATATTTGTTCCACCCATGACCTTGGGCTATACGGTCCGAAGGAGGTGGTGCTTCTTGCCGTTGTATGTGACCTCTTAAAAATTTTCCACTTTTTCGTCTAAATAAGAAGGTTCTAAACCTAATGCAAACTATATACAATAAGAATGATTATCAAGTATTGTCAAGGAAAAACAAAGGGTAATAACATAAACAAAAATGGAACTACAACCAACAAAACAACATCAAATAAGAAACACATGTAAATGTCAGAAAAGTCCAGATCATAGGTAAATGGCAAATTACTGAGATTACTCCAATAGCTGTCCTATCCTGAAGATTCTAACTTCAGTATCTAAAATGTTCTTAGCTAAGATATGAGAGGATTATAACTATAATTATCTAGTCTTCAACCCCATCAAAGACCTGAGAAGGCTATAATATTACCTGAGTAAACAGAAAGTGCAAGTGAGCAACTTCTGAAAACTGCAAGAATTGACAGAGACAGCTGACAGCCTAAGCAGTCACTGTTGGGGCATCCATTTTTGGCTACAGGCCTAGAAAATGTGACAGACCAATGTTAGAAGCAGGAATTTTGAAAGACCATCTTACCCTGTATTGGCAAGGTTCAGTAGTTGCTTTTCCTTGTCTTCTACTCATCTGGAAAGGACAGCGTTCATACTGTCAGTAGTCAAGGCAAGGGCAGTTCTTTGCCCAGCAGGCCATTTTGTGCCAAGAAGAAAATAAACTTCCAAACGGAGTATCATAGAAGCCCAATATTCTCTTGGAGTGAGGAGAGAGATGGCTCAGTGGTTAAGAGCACTAACTAATGTTATAGAGGACCTGGGTTCAGTTCCCAGGTCAGCCAGTGTCTGGTTACATCAGGCTCCCTTTGGGCCATATAGCCCAAGGTCATGGGTGGAGCAAATACCACTACAGACTTATATCATTAATTTTTGGCAGTTAATAGATAATTGGCTAGCAAAATGATTTTTGAAAGACAGGTAATAAAATGTCCCTTTCTAATTTTGTACAAAAGTGTTATATGGCCTAGACACTCTAAAACAATTAACTTGTGGATCTTTTCAATAGTGATAAATGTTCTAATGTTAAGTTGGAACTAGCCTTGGTTCATAAAAAGAATTAAAGCAATCAACCAAGTGTAGGCAATATTATTGCCTTAATTTGGCAGATGAGGAAACATTTTCAGAAGGTAAGTGACTTCTCAAGGTCACACAACTGTTAAGGGGAAGAGGCTTCTGATGCCTTATAAGGATATTCTTAGTTTTACACTCATGAAGCATTATGAGTCTTTATCTTGGAGACTTCTGTAACAGTGGTACAAGTAGTGGGGTAGATCTCTACCCTGGAGAAACATCTATTAAACTGACCAAAATAAATAAAGAAACCATTCAGTGCATCTTGGAGAGTACTCAAAGGAGTTACAACAAATTGAGAAGCATTTGTGCAGCAAATCCATGGATACTTGATAGAAATATTGAGAGGCCATTGTCTTGAACTAGCAACAACAACTCTTTGAGAACTCTTTCTGTGAACTCATAAATGGCAGTTCTCATCTGCTGTTGGGTGGGATAGGCTGTTATTGAATCTTGTGAATTTTCTAAAGTTCCATGCTGTGAAAAGCTTATGTTAAGCAGATGTCAGCAGCCAGACATCAGGTCTGTTCATCCACCTACCTTCTACTGCATAGGATGGAGAAGCCAGGTGAAGCAGCTGCAGCAATTGTATCCTCCTGTTTCTGAACAGCTCCGTCTTGGAAGGGAAACATTCTAGTAGGTTAGCCAGCAAACTATCACCCCCAGTTTCCCCATTTCATAGACGTGGAAACAAACAAATATTGATGGATTTCATTCTCTTGACTCTGGGCTGTAGACTATGTGTACTTGGTGGTGGGTACAGCTGAATGTAGGACTCCTTACTGACATACCTCTTCTCCCATTTCACAGCCCCTACACTACAGAAAGGGTTCTGGTGAAGGAACTGACTTAGTCTTTTCACTTCCTGTCTATAGCACAAGATAACCACATTATGGGAATTAAGCCCAATCTCAGAAAGACAAACATCATATGTTTTCTCTCATTTCTGATTTCCAAATTATATATCAATACATAAAATCCCATGTGAGTATATGCCATAAAAGTAGAAGTGAAATAGGGGGCCAAAGGGGACTAACAGGAGGGTAGGGATGAGAAAAGGGAAGTAGGGGGTTTGAGGGGATCTGCTCACTGTGTATACTATACACTTGTGTGAAAATTCCCTTCTATAGCGCAGTACTGTGACTAGTTAATATACACAACAAAAATCAAATAAAAAAGAATATTCTAGAGTAGATTTAGAACAGGCTTCAGAGACTTTGAACATCCTACACCCCAATAGCCTGACTTTAATTGGGCCTGACTATGAAGTAATATATGCCTCCAGGGATTTTTTTAAACCCATACACTGGGACAATCAGATAATATTGAATGCTAGCCGTTGTACATACTACTACAGAGGTAGATCAGCTAAAAGTACAATAAGAGAATCAAAGAGAAAAATTAGTTGTTCCAGGTAGTTAGGAAGACTATGTGGATGCTTAAGGCTGTGCTTTCTGTGTTATGTCATTAGATGTCACATATTCGCACTCCAGTCAAGACACAAACAAACAAGAAAACAAGGAAAATAACAAGTTCCAACAGTGATGAGGGGAAAAGAGTATTCAAATCACTATTATTTTATATGTCCAGTTTTCAAGAAATAATGGTCAGATATGAAGAAATCACCAAGAGTAACTCACATGAAGCAAATGGTGGCAATAAAAGCTGTCTTAAATTGGCCCAAATATAAGACTAAACAGAAAATATTTTCAAAATTGCTTTTATAAATAAGTTTTAAAACTAGAGGAAACATTCTTTAAAGAATTAAAGGAAAGTATTATGACAATATCTTATCAAACAGAAACGCCAATAAAGATAAATTATTTTAAGAATGAAATGCAAGTTTGAGAATTGAAAAACACAGTAAATAAATGGAGAATTTACGAGAGGAGCTCAATAATAAACCCAAGTAAGATGAAGAGAGAATTGACTTTATAGACAGAAGCAAGAGAGATTGTGAGATTTGTAGCATAGAAAGAAAAAAAGGAGAAAAGAGGAGCAGTGCACAAGAGAAATAGTAACAAGCATTTCAAAAGGAAAAGAGAGACAAAGGAAGAGAAAATTATTCTGAGAAAAAAAATGATCAACTATTTCCAAATTTGACATAAATATTTAATCTATACATCCAAGAATCTCACTTGAACTGAAGAAGGCTACATTTTCATATATCCTGAAGATACCATGTGAAAATATTGAAAGGTAAAAAAACCAGAAAATGCTTTTGAGAGGAAGCAGCAAGAGAAACACAGAGCATCAACAAAATTAGCATCAGGGTTTTCATTTAGAGATGATGGAAGCCACACAGCAGTGAGAAGATAGAGTTAAAGTAAAGAAAAGCATGAACCCACAATCCAACGAAACATTCCACATCCATATTGTTGGAAACAAGACAACAGATATGTAGCTGGAGTTTTCCTGTGTCTACCCGGCTCCTGCAGCTGCTCAGATCCAAGTAAACACACAGATGCTTATATTAATTAAAACTGTCTGGCCTAATGGCTCAGGCATCTTGCTAGCTAGATCTTATAGTTAAATTAACCCATAATTATTATTTATGTTTAGCCACATGGCTTGGTACCTTTTCCCAGTTCTGCCTTCACATCTTGCTTCCTCTGTGTCTGGCTGGTGACTCCTGACTCAGCCTTCCTGTTCCCAGAATTCTCTTCTCTGCTTGTTCTGTCCATACTTCCTGCCTGGCTACTGGCCAGTCAGCATTTTATTTATTAACCAATCAGAGCAACACATTCATAGCATACAGAGCAATGTCCACAGCACAGGTAAGATTACTACTTTATAAAATTTTATGTTTCATGTATTTATGATTGTGGAGAGAAAAACAGAGTATAACTGTGTATTTATAGCTTGCAGTCTCACTCTAGCTACCTCCTTATTGTTCTTGAGTTGGGGACCAAACCCAGGTCTTTACACACGGAGGGCAAGCAATTTTACTACACTCTATCATAGACTTTTCATTTCTTCCTGTAGATTCCAGCTAATGTCTGCTGTTTTTATTGTCAAATATGTCTTTGTCTACAGATATCACCCTGTGCTATTATTGTTAACTATAGCACATTTCTACATATGCTTAATAACTCGATTATTTTTCATTTTTATAGCATGCTCCTTAAAATCAGTTGTATAGAAGAAATGGGCTTACTTGATTCTTTGTATCCAGTTTCCACATCTGGGAAGTCAATCAACTGTGGGTTTAAAATATTTGAAAAAAAATGTATCTGTACTAAACATGTACAGACTCTTTCTCTGTTGATAGCTCCTAAACACTCTACTGAAACAGTATTTACTGATATTGACATTATCATAGACAAATCAGTAGCTAAAGTATGTGGGAGGAGGAGGTATGTAGGCTATGTGGAGAGACTGTGTTATTTTATACTACAGTCTTAAGCATCTATGGACTAGGGGTCTTTGGAAGTCTTGCAAACCCATCTCCATTGCTAACTAGGGATGGATGATTGTATCATCCTCTTACTTCTTAATTATCTATACAATGACCTTTTTTTTTTTTTTTTTTTTTTTTGGTTTTTCGAGACAGGGTTTCTCTGTGTAGCTTTGCGCCTTTCCTAGAACTCACTTGGTAGCCCAGGCTGGCCTCGAACTCACAGAGATCCGCCTGGCTCTGCCTCCCAAGTGCTGGGATTAAAGGCATGCGCCACCACCGCCCGGCCACAATGACCTTTCTTGTGCTCATGTTTTCCTGTATGCCTCCAGCCAGAGCAAATTGCTCTCTTATTTCTTGTAAAGATTGTCTTTTAGCAATAATAAATAATATCAGAATGGTTCTATAAAAAGCCTGACGTCGTTACCAAGATTTGTGGAAAAATTAGAACTCTATACACTGATGGTAGGAATCTAAATTATTACAGACATTTTAGAAAATGATTTCAACAGTTCCTCTGAAGTATGAGCATGCTGTTACTGTATGATTCACAGTCATTTTCCTGAGTATCTATCAGATATCAGATATCCACACAGAAGGTTTTGCATGAAAGTTCAGAGCAGCATTGTTCTTAACAGCCAGCAACCCAAATACCCATCCATGGGACAATAGTGATAAATTGGTTGAGCTATACAATGAAATATCATACAGAATAAAAACGAAGTACTGATAAATGCTGGCATGGATTAATTTTGGAGTATGGTTTCTAGTAAAAGAAGCTAGCTACAAAATGGGAAAGAAAACACATTGTGTGATTCCATTTATTTAAAAAGCTCAGTGTAGGAGTAATACTAAAAACATGGGGTTTCTTCATGAGATGATAAAGATATCCTGAAATTGGACAGTGTAGAAAGCTGCACAACTCCACGAATATTAAAGACTGTCAATCTGTACTTTCTGAAGGATTTTATTCTATATCCCATGGTGAATGTTTGGAGATACAACATAATGAACATCAGCTCCGCAGATAAATGTGTCTTACTTATAAACTAACAGTACCAGGTAAGGGAAGAGGAAAGACCTCAAAGCCTAGGCTCAAAATTGTTAGTGCTCTGTTTGCTCTTGTTCTAAGTTTTCCTGGATGAGGGAAATGACTTTTGTTTAGTTTCTCTAGTCAAGAAACCATATACAGTTAGTTTTTGCTGTTGATAGTTTTCCTGCCATGTTCTTTTAACAAGCCTAATGCTTCAATTTAGAAACGAAACTGTCTGAAGTACAACAGAAAGAATTGTTGAGTGCGGTTGGTACAGCACACAGAGAGCAGTTGGTAGTGCCTTTGGTGAGAACCTGTCAGGTGCTGGGCCAATCTTGGCAAACATCCTTATACATTTTCTGGTGTGGTCAACGTGAGCTATGGAAGATTAGTTCCTGTTGGTACCCTTTGACGAGACATGCTCTCTGAGGGCTATGGCGGCCCTATTAACCATGTCTGTAGCATGAATCTTAAAGAGTCTTATTAATAAAATCAAACCTGAGGCCAGTTATTGGGGTCAATGCTGGTAGATCAGATGCAGAACAAGCCGTAGCTAGCTCACCTTGCCAATTCCTCAGCTGATTCTGTTTCCTCAGACTGGAAGCCTCTGTATCCTCATATCCGAATGGCTTTCAGCTGAACTGTGCTACTCAAAACCTAAAAGCTTAACCAGCCAAATGCTTAACTAGCCAAAATGCTTCTAGTTTCTGGTCCTCATGCCTTAAATACCTTTTTGTTTTCTGCCATCACTCCCTGGGATTAAAGGCGTGAGTCACCATGCTTGGTTGTATCCTTGAACACATGGATTTCTGCTTCTGGAATGCTAGGATTAAAGGCGTGTGCTACCACTGCCTATCCTCTATGTTTAATATTGTGGCTGTTCTGTCTCTGACCCCAGATAAGTTTATTAGAGTGCACAATATTTTGGGGAACACAATACCACCATACATGTCCTTTTCTCTTGTTCTTGTTTTATGAGCAGATAGTTGCACTAATATACCAGACATTCCACATGCTTCCTGGATACGAAATTCCAAGCCAACAAAAGAAGACTTGTTTCCGGTTGGGACTGTGTTATACTACAATTGCCAGCCTGGCTATGAGCCTGCTATAAGACAGGCTGTGATTTGTCAGAAGGATTTCACCTGGAGCCCGTTCAAAGAATGCAAGGGTGAGTTCTGGTTTCCCAAACGTGTGTGGGTATTAAATATCTAAGTGATTGGACCTTATACCTTATGTGAGTGTAATTTTATCACTTAGAATAAAGCTTGAATACACTATTTTAACTAAAGTAGAAGCTATTTAATATCAAAAGTGGTCATAAAGTTTCAGGGGCTAAGATTATAAATCGTTCTGTAGGCCACTTTAGAAATGAACAAAAGAAACAGATATAGAAGCCAGACAGCATGCAGGTTTATGTTTCAACGTCACTGATTGGGGATCTGGGGTGCAGCACTCAGCTCAACACTTGTCATGATGAGATTCTATAGTCCCTCCTCCCCCATGTGAAGTCTAGGGGTTCTGGCAGATGAAAAAGTTGATGAGACCATTATGAATTCAACAACCTACAAATTGGCATATGTCTTATAGTTGAGCCACAGGTATGTCAACCTAACAGAGTTCTTGCTTCAAGAAGACAGGTACTAACTCCTGACCCAGAATTCTTACCTCAGCAGTAAGGGGCTTGCTCCTTTTTACCTCTTTTTCTATTTGTGGGAACAAAAGAGGGGCTCAGGTGAGTAATTACTATTTTATAGACCTCAGTAAAATTTCTAAGAAAGAAAAATTGCCTCATTTTTTTTCTATCTAGCAGAAGCTTGTCATTTTTGCAGTAAAAAAGACAGACTCAGACTACAGGGCATTTTTATGCTATGGATCACATTTGGAAAATGTATTAATGGATACACACAACAACATGAAGTGGTTTTGATTGGCCTGTCAGTGGGGCGTCAGTGGGCTTAGAGACAAGATAGAGGAATTGGATCATTTGCTCAAAGAAAATGTAAGATAAAAAAAAATCAATGACCAATGAATGGAACATGCAGGAACTCTGGAATTACTATAAAAAGATCAAACATATAAACAAAGTCTAGATGAAGAAAAGAAGCACACATCAAAGGGACAGAAAATAGTTTCAACAAAATCATAGAAAAAAATTTCCCCAAATCTAAGGAGAGCCTATCAAGGTAGAAGAGGCATACAGAACACCAATTAGACTGGACCAGAAAATAAAACTCCCTTGACATTTTATAGTTAAAAAAACCTAAGTACGCGAAACAAAGAATATTGGAAACTGCAAAAAAGAAAGGCCAAATCACTTAATAAAGACAGGACCATCAGAATAACAGCTAATTTTTCAATGGAGATTTTAAAATGCAAAAGGGATTGAACTGATGTTCTACAAGTTCAGAAATACAACACATACTAACCTAGACTACTATACCTAGCAAAAGTATCAGTCATAATCAAGAGAAACAAAGATGTCTCATGGTAAAAACACATTACAATGATTTATGGTCACTATGCTGTCTCTACAGTGGACATCGAAAGGAATACTTTCATCTCAAGAGAAGGATTAAAAACACCAAGAGGTAATAATGAGTAAATAAATAATTCCAGAATGATTAATCTAAAGAGGTCTAAGAAAACACCACCATCACAACAAAATGTCAAGAATTAAAACACTGTTTACAAACAGCTCTTAATATCAATGATCTTGATTTTCCAATAAAGAGACAGACTAACAGATGGGGTTAGAAAATGGGATCCATCTTTTTTCTGCCTCCAAGAAACACACTCTGCTTTCAATGATAGATACCAACTTAGGGTAAAAAGATGAGAAAGGGTACTCAAGAAAATGGAACTAGAAAACAAGCAGGGCCAGCTATTTTGTTATCTGACAAAATAAACTTCCAACAAAGACTAGTCAGAAGAAATAAAGGGTCATTTCATACTCATAAAAGGAAAATCTACTAAGGGATTGTTAGAATTCTGACCATGTATGCACCAAATTTAGATACACCCAATTTCATAAAGGAAATACTATTAGACCTAAAACTACAGATTAATCAAAACAGTGATAGTGGATGACTTTACGGCCTCACTCTCACCAATAGACAGTCAACCAGACAAAAACTAAGCAAAGAGATATTAAAATTAAGTGACATAAATAAAACAGACCCAACAGGCATCTATAGAATACATTAAAGAATACCTATTCTTCTCAGCAGGCCATAGAACTTTCTTCAAGAGTGGGAGATAAAGAAAGTCTCAACAAATATAAAAAATTGAAATAACATTCTATGTTGGGCAACAAGAGTATAAAGATGGATGTCAATGGGAATTAAAAACTACAGAAATGCACAGAAATTAAAATACACACTAATGAATGGTAATTGGGTCAATAAAGAAATTAAGAGAAACTTAAAAATTCCTAGAAGTAAGTGAAAATGGAAACACAATATGTCAAATCTATGGAACACAATAGAAGAAATTTTAAGCGAGTACCTTATAGTACTAAGTGCCTACATGAGTTTTTTTGAGAGCTCTCAAATTAATAACTTAATGCTCCATCTAAAATCCATGGCCAAGTGAGAACAAACCACACACAAAATAGTAGAATGGAAAAGATAAACCAGGGTCAAAATTAATAAAATACAGCAAATAAACAAACAACAATACAAAGACTCAATTGGTTCCTTGACGAGACTTCTAAGATTGACAAACCTATATCCAAATCAACAAAAAGAAAGAGAGAGAGGACCCAAATTAACAAAATCATAGATGAAAAGGGAAACATAATAGACACTTAGGAAATTCAAAGGATCATAAAACCACATTTTAAAAACCTATATTCCACTCAATAGCAAAATCTACAGGAAATGGGGTGAATTTCTAGATGCATATCACCAACCAGAGTTGAATCAAGATGAAGCAAATAATTTAAAAAGATCTATAAAAACCAAGAACATGGGATCAATAGTTAAAAAAAAAAAACTCTCAACTAAAAAACAAAACAAACAAACAAACAAACTAGGGCCAGGTAGATTCAGCACAGAATTCTTTCTACCAGCCCTTCAGAGAATAAGTAATAACAATATTCTCTAAATTATTCTTATATAATAGAAAATAAAGGAACTCTTCCATTTTTTTTTTTTTTTACTAATTTTCTATTATCCTGATACCAGAACCAGATAAAACCCAACGAAAAAGTAAAATTATAGGTCAATGATGAACATAAATGCAAAATTGCTTAGTAAAATAATTGTAAACTGAATTAAAGATCATATCCACCATGATCAATCCACCATGATCAAGTTAGTTTCATCCAAAAGATGAGTAGATGGTACAACATATGTAACAATAAATGCAATCCATCAGTAAATAAACTCAAGGCCAGAAACCATGAGGTCATCTCAGTATCTATAGAAAAGATCTTTGAGGAACTCAACATCTCTTTATGATAAAAGCCCTGGAGAAACTAGAGATTCGCAAGCATATCTCAATATCATAAAGGCATTATACAAGATGCTCACAGTCCACACCATGCTAAATGGAGGTGAACCCAAAGCATTTCCACTAATATCTGGAAGCAGACCAGGCTTCCTACTGTCTCCATGTATATCCAATGTACACTGGAACTCTTAGCTAAAACAATAAGACAAGTGAAGGAGATAAGGGGCATATGGATGTATCGAGGTCCTTTAGGTACCAGCCCTAAAGGCCTCTTTCAGGGTCCAAAAAAGACATTACAACAAGCAAGGGAAACCTAATGATTTGAGGGCGAAGAAATGAATCTGCTCATACTGTATTTTGTTGCATGTCTCTTTACTCTTCTCCAGCTACCATAAGGATTGAAGTTTATATATACTCACAATCAGCAATTCTTTGGCAATGATTTTTTTCAAGGTCATAAAAACAGATTAAGAGCTACAACCAGGCAGTGACTGTCAGGCTTTCTTTATGACTCAAGGTGGGAGTGACTTGTAAAAGCCTCAGTGAAGTCTTAAAGGGAACAGGGTCAAATGAAGGAGAGAGTTAAATCAATAGGAAAATCTAAGAAGGGAATTTGTGCTGTTATACTACATTCCTAAGTGCGGCTAGAAAATAAGGTAATTAATAAACCGAGGTGAAAGTAAGTACAAAGAGTTAAGAATTTGTTAGTGTGAGGTTAGTTTGGGGAAGCATTTCCCTTATCTGCTGGCAAGGTGAAACCAGGGTATGCTGGTTCCCTATCTTCTCTAAGGCTGTGAATCAACAATTACAGACATGTTGTAATTCTTGTCCTTAGGCATCTGTGAATGTCTTAAGTAAGGTCATTTTTCCTGGACACTAATACTGACCAACTGTTTGCCAATACAAATAATTGCAGGAAGGCAGACTTCTAAGTTTATATTGGGAAATGGAACAAAGATCTGGATGTTAGAAACAAAGGTTTTTTGGCCATGTGACTTACTTTTACACATAGCTGGGGAAAGTCATCCAAATATACCAATGCATAGGGGAAATTGTGCCCAATGAATGATCAAAACACTGCTAAGCTGTGGGAATAAATTCCAAAATTGTAACAGATGGGAAGAGCTATGGCTTCACAAGAAATCTTAGAGCAAGAACAGCTGTCAATTCAGAAGGCAATAACTCCAAAATGCCTTGCATGATGGTTTCCTCCATCAGAATTCATGTTCCTGGTTAGTTGGCCTTCTAAGTAACAGCTGAGCTCTCACTGCCTAATCTTGTGGCATGCAGCATGGATAGGGTAGGAAAAAGTGTCCTTATTTGCAGATGATACAATTCCTATACATAAAAGACTCTAAAGATTCCAGTGAAAACACTTATAGCTGATAAGTGTATTCAGCAAAGTTGTAGGATACAAAATGAACTCACAAAATCAGTAGCCTTATATTCCAGTGATAAACACTGAGAAAGAAACTAGGGAAACAATCCCATTCTTAATAGCCTCAAAACATATCTTGGACTAAATCTAAGGAAAGAACTGAAAACTCATACAATGAAATATTTAAAACAGGGAAGAAGTTGAAGAATATACCTGAAGATGGAAATATATCATTTGCTCATAGAATAGTAAGATTAATATTATTTAAATGGCCAGCCTACCAAAAAATCTATTATTCAATATAATCTTTATCAAAATTCCAATTCTTCGTAGAAATC